TGAGGAAGATCTGCTGTCATCAGACACAGATGAAGACATGAAAAAGGATGAAGAAGATTATTATCAAACTCCCAGCAATGTTTTAGCAAAGGTAGTTTATCAGTTGTGATTTCTGCTGGCTTGTTAAAAGCTCCAAGGAGACAGGAGACATTTCATGAGCCAAAGAGGAACTGGTATGAGGAACCACTAGTACCTTGCAAAAGAAATACATAGATAAAGCAGTAGGTAATGGAGCTTTCATTTATACAAGAAAAAATACACTAGACTCATTCAAAAGATCTTTCTGGTCGTAAGTGGCATTTTGACAAAAACATTGCTGATTTTGTTGAAATTCCCCAAATTGACTGTTTCATTGTAAATGGCTTTTGCCTATTGTGTAACAGGTTGGTTTTTTTCAAAAGTGAAAACTTCATTTAGAAAATGTAACCGTACATTGTTTTAATATATTTTAAAATGTAATTCTGTTGAAGCATCATTAAGCTGCATAAAATGAAGCAGTACTTCAAAAACACTGTGAAACATTTTGGTTTCTACATTTCACTATGAAACAAGGGAGCGGGAGGAATCATACTGGTAATTTTAAACAAATTTTGACACCAAATTTTGACACCAAATTTGGGAGAATAATTTCTCTAGGCTTCCCATATAGTGTATATATAGTTTCTCCCAAGATGGTACAGCTAACTGAAGGACATTAAAATTTTATTTTGTCATATAATTTAAGTACTTTAAGTTAAGCACACCCAAAGTACAAGACCATTTTTTCAACCTGCTTAAATTAAAATGTAACAAAATTTTGTGGTAGTACTTTAGAATATAGCTAGTTATGTCCCAGTTTGAAAGTGTCAATAACACCTGATAGCATTAAGTTGTAAGTTTCAACCACTTTTCTAGCCCATGGTTTCTGGGAAATGATTTACTTGGGGAAAGCCAAGCTATATTAGCCCATGTGTTTAAACAGCATGAGCACTGAACAAAATAAGGAAATTGCAAAGATTTTTTCTGTAGGCAGAGCAATGATATTAACGTTTTACGTTGTTATGCGTTTCCACCAGTGTATTACTGAAGTATCAAAGCCTGACCCTACAGCTGGGTCTAATGTCCCCGTGCAAGAGCAGCCAGTGCAGGAGAAGCCAGTGCAGAAGAACCCAGTAAAAGAGAACATTTATATGTCAATGAAATCACTGTAAGTAACAACTTCATTAAGGTTTTCCAAATTAAAAGTGACATAGTGGTACAGATAGAGCTGTCATCTGTGGCATTTACATAATTTACCTAGAGCCTGCATCTTGTTTGAATGAGTCCTTGTTTGGTCTTGATTCAGAAAGTTCAGAACTCATGGGAACACCACAGTGAAATTCAAACTCATCAGCTTGAAATTTAAACTCACATTGAAAACTCATGCATTTAGACAGGCTCTGACTATAGTATGCAGCACTTTTGTTGCCTCATACTTTTCCTAGGTTTTCATGACATAATAGCTCAGATACTGATTCATGACACCACTCAGATACTGCAGCCAAGCTCCAGCAACCTTTCAGACAGGTACTCTCCAAAGCAGGCAGCATTATCTCGTGGTTAAAACAGAAAGGTAGACACGGGGCATTAGCTCCCAGCTTTTCCAGTAAGAGTTATGTGATCCTGAGTAGGTCATCTCCTTCCATTTTCCCATCCAAAGAACAGGTCTGATGCTGTATACTTTGAAGGTAGAGTGTTTGGCATGTCACGAAGACAGACCTGAACTTTGTGTCACAGTTGTAGTGCCACAAGGAAACTTTACATCCTCCATGATATATACTGAAGAGAAGTGTGCTTACACAGTAAACCATACCTTCTGCCCCAGAGGGCTGGTCATTAGCTGTTAGCTATGGCCTGCCGCCTACAAACAGTCAGACCTTATGCCACATAGTGGGACGCAATTGGAAATGCAGACCCACAAACCAGTTCATTCCAATAGATTTATTCAAGCTCATCTGTGTCTTTGCGAGCCCCTGGAGGGAATTACTATAAAAGCATCACAAGCCTGGAATACCCATATGAGTTAAAATATACCAAAAGCAGCTTTTGCTACTAACACCAGTCTCATTTGGGGTGTGGATGGGAGCTGGCTCCAGACATTATAAGGCTCATCAAATAAACCTAAAATGCGTTCGAGCACATCTGCGTTACTGTATCTCCCAGGGGACAGTGTTACATCCCTGCAGAAGCCAGTACAGCCAAGGCCAACAATCTGTACTCGGTTTATTTGTCAAGGCATGTTGTTAGTTGGAATATTTTCAGGCTTACTAAATAGTCTTTAAATACTGAAAAGGTTTATTTGGGGATTTATGGTCCATTTTTAGAAGGACTGTTTGTTTTACTTAGCTGTAATTTTGTCCACTGGATATTCTACAAGAACTTGTTATTCTTTGCTTCACTGATGGCTATTTGATCCAGCTTCAAACACAGCAAGACTGCCTGGAATGATCAAACCAGTTAATTTTTTATCATCATTCCTTTTCAGTAGGTTGCTGGATGAGAGTTTCCAGCTCATGTGCAGACATGATGAGCTCCCATCTCCTCCCAAATGCCAGGACAACAGTGCATGTCCAAGAGACTTGGAAGCAAACAGAGACCTGAAATTCTCAGAAAGCAGCACCAGCCAGCAGCCAACCCTCCAGAGGAGGCAAAATTCATTACCACTTTCGGTGGTTCAGTTGTCAATACTGCTCAGGTAAGTGTCGTCTCCATTTTTGCTCCAGAGAAGACAGATGTGTTCATGGGTTTCAGTTGAGGTACTGGTAGAGCATGCCAAACCTGTCAGAATTCAAGGAGCATCTGGACGATGCTCTTAGTCATATGATTTAGTTTTAGGTAGTCCTGCAAGGAGCAAGGAGTTGGACTCAGTGATCCTTATGAGTCCCTTCCAGCTTGAGATATTCTATGATTCTACGGTCACTGATGTTTTCTCTCACAGTCAAGTTACAGATGAAACCCAACTGCAGAAATTGGATATTTTCGTCCCCCTGGCTGATATTAATAGTTACCTAAAACTTACCGAAGCAGCAGGACAAATATGGTAAGTTCTGGACGTTTTGTGATGGTGCATGTCAGATATGAATAAGTGACAGGTACAGAAGTATACAACCATACACATCCATGTACATTTTTGGCAGTGCAGAACAGGGCAGGGTCAGTGTGTGTTGGTACTTCGGTGATTCCTTTCTGCTATTCTGACTCTTCATGTACTTCAGTTTCTAATTCAACTGCTGTTGAAAAGGGCTATATAGAATCAAGGTCGCTCAGCACGCTGTATAATTAGCAATGAAGTCCCACCCCAAAAGCTATTCTTCTAATGTTAGTGTGAAATCACCTAATTACTGCTAGTCAGTTTTACCTTTGATTTGGTGAACCACAGTGATGGTGTGTCTCAGAGACATAGTGAGAAGACACATCTCGTGATAGGGTAAACAGGGCCTCAAGCTGACTTGAGTTGGATGTGAGCACAAAATTATGTCTAATCCCAGCAGTGGTTCAGTGCTAGGAATGAGTGCTAGGCAGAGATTTTCACAAGAAGGTGTTACGGGCTAGAGCACATACACCTTTTTAGTAGTCCCACAGGAAATTAGTGCTCTCCCTAGACCTCCAATATCAATGACTAGGATAAAGAGGATGGAGCAGAAAAAATGCTCAATACATCAACAGAAAGCACAAAGAAATGTGCTTTCTGTTGATCTTTCATTGCCACACAGCACTGAGACTGCTTTTTGCTGTTCCTCTCATATTGACACCAATCAGGTGCACTGTGTGCACAGCAAGTCACTTTGTTTTAGCCACTGTCAGCAAGAAGAAAAAATACCATTGCAAAAGGGACTGGAAATGGGATCTCACCTCAACAATTGGCTCTACATCTAAATTTACAGAGCTTTCTTAGTGGACATTCATATTGAAAGAATTTGGGTCTTGTTCTGCAAGGGAACAGAGCACTAAGTCTGACTGTCAGGTCAGCAAATCCTAAATAGCTTGTCATCAAGGAGAGTCTATCAGAGACCAGCAGGAAAGAGATACTGAAATTTCCATAAGAGTCCCATCAGGAAATCAATGGATCTCTGATCCTTGCAGTTATATCATAGATAAAACACATGATAATAAGTTTTAATTTCATTCCTTTGGGATGACTTCAGAAATCATCTCCGTCAAACATCAGGCTAAAATATCTACAGTGGGTCTGACCTGCTGCTTCTGGACTGGAATCCCCAACTTTTACTAGTGACCTTGCTAGCACCAGTCTCACTTGCTAACATGCTGCAATGTCAGTGTCATGTGCTCTTTTAGGAGGACCCGTTGGGATGGATGAAGCAGCTTGTTTTCAGCTGGCACCAGATCAACAAGTCACAAAGTCATTCAACCTGTGTGTTATTTGCGCCACAAGTGCAATCTTGTTCAGCCATTGCCATTCTGTTAGCAGTAACCGGATACCCTGTATGTTTCCTTTATTGTCCGTTCTCCAAATACCCTAGCGTTTCACAGTGGACTGGTCCTTGCCGACTGGGATGTTTGTTTAACCATGGAGACCATATAGTGGCTGTGAATGATCTGCAACCCCAGGATGTGGAGGAGGCTTACTTCTTCATCAGCAGGTCCGCAAGAAAGGAGGTAAGCTTGACTAACCTGAAGGTGATAGTCAAATGAATCCAGCCAAATGAGAAAGTAAGTTGATTTTTCATTTCAAGTGGCTCCCTTCAAGCCAGTTTACTCTGTTTTAAGTTTGGCATGAATAACTTCAGTACCAAATAGCTCCTCAGCATCATTCTGATGTAGCATCTCTTTTTCCTGGACTATTTGGGGAATGCAAGATCAGCACTGCTGTGTTTGAGGACTTGATCTCAAAGAGTCTGAACAACCCCAGAAGATACTACTGGGCAACTGTTAATTAGAGTTACTTGGTATTTTTTGGCTAAGGCCCATGAATTGCAAACTTTGGGAAATAAATTATTTCCTCCAGTGGATGTGTGTAGTTGCTTAGAGTGGTTTTAGGTATTGAGGGCAGAGCCCTAGACTCCTACCTCCTACTGGTTATCAAGCACTACACATGTCCTTGTGTGATACTACTTTTTTTGAAGAATGTGGGAGATTGCTAAGTTGTGCCTCAACACCACTGTGATCTGCTACATGTTTGTACCTATGTTTCTCTCAGATAGACTCATATTTCAGTATCCATGTTCTCTGACCCATACTTGAACACATTCATATTTGAATTTTGCCGAGGAAGTTGGGGTCACCAGATGCTGTTGCCACCTAAAGAAAGCCAGTCTCAGCAAGGAAAAAATACTGATCTCTCTTAATAGGGCATTTTTATTTAGCCAGTTAAAATACAAGTCAGATAGTAGCACAAATGTTGATCAGATATAACAAGCTATGAAAATGTCTCTTTTTTTTTCTTTTTTAAGGTGAAATTTACTGTATGTAGAATTCCACATTCAGATGTCTTCCATGTTAAAGGCTGCTCATGTTCCTGAACAAAAAAAAAAAAAAATCTCAATGATTAAGTAAGTGCCAAAGTTCAAGGGAAAAAATCAGGGAGGAGAATGTGATATATAGTGTATGGAGGTAATCTTTATCCTCTGAAGCTGCCAGACATATTTTGCTGCTGAAGTACAAAGAATAGAGTATGTGGATTTCATTTTCATTTTATGTCCTAATAACTTGTTTTGTTGACATGAATGGCATGCGTTTGGCTTGTATTTCACGTTGGCATGTATTTCAGTTACATGAAAAAAACTGAGAGTCAAATCATTTATGAAACCTTTACCCTGTGTATACTTTGTACTTCAGCAGAAAGTACCGGTTCATGCCTCTGCTCACTTCTTTACACTGGGTTATATTGATTTATACTGAACTCCTAATCAGTTAGAGGTGTGGAAACAACCTATATTTGGAACAAAGCCATGTTTTCCCTTGTTTCCCCTTAGCTACAGAAGGGCAAAGGCAAGCTGAGAGCTGTAGTGTTGGAAGGAAGGCTGGTAAATAAAGTGTTGTGTAGTGATTCAGTGGGGCCTCCTTTTCCGTTATGCCCCTCTTACGTTACAGCCACGAAAATACATTTAAGGGATGACAGGAAAAAAAGCTGGTTGGAGAAAAGGAATGTACCTGGAGCACCTTTGGGTTCACTGGCAGGCAAAATAAGCCCTTAGTGAAGAATGAATGAATGGATTTGGGAGAGAGTAGGGCTGGCTTGCTCTGTGAAAGCATTACTGGTAAAGACAGCTGGGAAAACCAGAGAGAGAAATAACGTATACAAAGGCATGTGCACCCAGCCCAATGCAAACAGAGTTCACTGGAAGAGTTTTGATGCTACCAAGTACTACCATAGGGATGTCACTGGTACCGCAGCATTTCCAGAGCAAGTGCTCATTTGTTTCCCAAACAAGGACATTTCCTGTAAATATTTATTTGTGAATATGACTTGCTTCCACTGCTATTACAGAAACATGACTGATTTTCAGCTAATATCACACTAAAAGGTGTTTGGTGCTTTATATGGAACTGCCTGCAGGGGAGCCTTTAGTGAATGCCAAAAGGGAGCTTTGTCCTGTACTACAGTGACCTCTATTGCTTACAGAAACATGATGTGAGATGGCATGGATGCAGAACACATACCTATTCTCTATATGGATATATATGCATTTGCATATACGTGTTTGTGTGCGGGTGTATTTACATACATATATATCTCTCTGTAAATTAGATTGTATTAATATACAATGATGTGGCAACAACCCAAATCACTGTTTTTGAGTACAGATAATTTTATCTTGCCAGATACAACCAAAATTAATACTGGGTTTAACAGGCATAGCATTATTGATATTAAGAGATTTATATAAGCTTTGATTAAGGTGGATTTGGCCCAAAGGAGGTATTTGTCCAGCTTCCAATTGAATTAAGCCAAGTCAGCTACTACAGTAAGAAACTACACTCACTAAAATCAGCATTGGTGCCACTTACTCCAGTAATAAATTTGACAAATGTGCTTTGTATACTTCCTTTAAAATCCAGACTGGACTTTTTTAAAAATAGTCATAAAATTTTATTTAGCCAAAGATGAACACAGCATCAGTAACTGAGCAAATGAGGAAAATGAGCAAACAGAAATATTTATACAACCTATTCAGACTCAGCTCCTATTCAAAAGATTAATTTCCAGACTGAATGTTTCCACAGCCTGTCTCTTCTGCTTTTGAGATAAGAGTGTTTGGGACATGCTTATTTCTCAAGGTGGGAAAGGATCACTTTTTGATATTTGTTTCAGTGGTGTTCAAAGGCCAGTTTGTGCTGAATTCTGCATAAAGACAGAGAGAAACCCCCAGTTCTGGAACTACAGAGGCTGAAAATGGAAGAAAAGACATTCCTTGGAAGCTCTCCTCCAAAGCTGCTATGGGACTCCTTTGCTCTGCACTGCCTCTTTGAGCACAACAAATCCATTTCTGCCTAGAGTCTCTTAGGGACGGGATGGCTGGCTATCATCACAGAGGGCTTCTTCCAGCTCTGTAACTGTGCCAGTCTGCTAGGACAGTCCTCTAGGCCTGAATCCTAAAATCACAGATCATCTAGTTCAAGAGTATCCACCAAGGATGTCACCTTTGACCTTTCCTGCCCCAGGATTGCCTAAGCTAGTCTTCTGAACTTTAAAAAGGAAAGTCCAAACCTCCCTGTGTTGTTCCAAGACTCATCTGCCTGTATAATTAGGAAGTTTTTTTCTAATATTTATCCTAGATGATTTTTTCAGAAAATGAACCTGATTTTTTCTTGCCCTGTTTCCAGTGGGCACTGGGAATGCTTGATTTCCACTGTCTCCAGAGAAGTCTTCATTCTGAAAGGTGTTTTTTCTGCCTGTTCTTCCTTCTCATTTTTTTAGACCAAACATCCTGCATTCTTTCAACATTTTTTCAAAGAGTTCCTGAAAGTGGTCATATGTCACTGTACTGCAACACAAATGCCTCGTGTTTCCAGTTACGGGTTAACAAAGGAGGTGAGACAGCTATGAAGCAATTTCCTGTAACTGCATAGAGAAACATTTCCAAAAAGAGGTGGACTAGCAAAGAAGCTGTGAACCGTACGTGGTGGTGGGAGGAGAGCCACCGCCGTGGAACCTGCACATGGCATTGCTGCTGAAGCAGATGCTGAGCAATGCATGCAGCACCTCTTGGCCATGGAAGAATGTTACTTTTGGACAAAAATAGGATTTGGGTAGATATAGCATGCACAGGATAATTCCAGATTATTTCAGGAAACTGGGGGATTACTCCTGTACTTCAGTAAACAGTTACTGATGTGTTAACCCTGTAATTGATCATTATGTCAGTTTGCACAATCATAAATGCAGATAATTAATGTCACATATTGGCTGATTCATAACACAGAGATACAATACGGAAATTACATTGGTACAGTAAATTCTGGTAGTGAAGTTGTCTGCCCACATACAATTAATAAATGTGTTAACACTTTACAACACATTGTATGCTGTGAATACCTCACTTTCTCCTGACACAGCCCCTCCAGTACTCCAAAGACTGCCTGTAACTTCCCTGTAACCTGCAGCTGAGTCACCAAACAGCCCTTTTAAAAAAAGCTACCCTTAAGAAAACAAGACCAACCTCATTCTGTGACATTTTTCCCAATGTGAAAATGTTACCTTTCTTCAAATGAGAAAATTCTGCTAAATCTCTGGGATGCTTCTAGAAGCACCAGCAAAGGGAAATGCCTACATGCATAGTATTACCCAGTGCTCACTTTCAGTCCTGGAAGACCTGAAGTCTTTAAACCCATGCCATCTAAGGGCTAGCTATTAATTTTTTAGGTCACCTATAGGCATTTTAAATGTATTCTGTAAGGACACACTCTTAAAGAAATAGGTGATAGTGTAGCTTCTTGTTGCAGCATGCTGTGTGGTGTCAAAATCTTTTCTTAGCCAGTCTCCAGGTATGTTTTGGGCTATGGAGGGTTCCTGACACAGATGTTTAAATTGACATGAGCTGAAACTCTCCGTGAATCCATAGACTAGTGAATCTATGTAAAACACAGCTGGAATAAGGCTGCAGATCCTGAAACCTTCTTGCACTACTGACCCCATGAAAGTAACCTGCTTGAAAGCAGGGGCCATTGCGGCTGCAACACACGCCACTTCAAATCGCTCAGCATCTGCAAACTGCGTGTACAAGAGAGACAAAACCCAACCGACTGCAAATCAGATTATGTGATTAGCTAATGATTAACATGCTCCTCACTATTTTATTTCCTGTCATTGAATACAGCCAGTGTCTTTAGGTTGTTTCCCTGGCTGTTAATTCATGGCACATTCCCATGCTGCGCTCACTCATTAGCAGCTGCTGATTTCCCCCCCTGAATTCCCAAATATGAATCATGCTCTTTCTACCTATCTAGTACCCTTCTCCAGCAGGAAAATGGTAATTGTCCAGGAGAAAAGCAAGTTCCGGAACACAGAGAAAGTAATGGCAAGAGAAGCCTCCCGATTGGTGTGAGGTCACTGAAGTTAAGAAAAATAAAAAGCCCATTGTACAGCAAGAACAAACCAGACCACAGAGCCCCCGCACTTCCTCTCAAGGGCAACACTACTGAGAAATGGGCTTGGAGTCATGCACTGATCAGAGAGAGACAAGTCCTGCAGGAGAAGGAGTCCAGCCAGGAAAGGTTATCTGTGCTGTGTCCACCCTGAACCGAGCCAGAGACAAGCTCTGCGGAGTGCAGCGGCTGGCCGCAATGCGTAGGACTGGGTGTTGTTTAGAGTCCCGCCAGCCTGGGGTACCCAACCAGACACGCTTCAGTGTGGCTGGACTTTCAGCAAGTGGGGTCAATAGAGGAGCAGCTGCAATAGAGGAGAGCGATGTCACCTTGCATACCGGGGAGAGCAGATCGGTGCTGACCTGGGGGCACCAGGTGCTTAATCTATGTTTTGCTCCCAAATTTTCTGGTGACCTCAGGAGAGCCCTTTCCTTGCACAGACTCAGTAAAATCCAAGAAGCGATTTCAGACACATTTGCATAACCCTATCTCTGACAACGAACGCGCTCTCCAGCATCACATTCAATTCTACAAATTGCCTTCCCTCCCAGCACGTCTGCTGGAAAGCCCTCCATCCGACCTGTACGCTACAGGCATGGGGGCTGGTTCATCAACCTTATGAGTTATGGAGAAATGCCGATGTGCCCGTTGGGTGCTAAGGGAGAAGCCCTCCTCAGTGTCCTGCAGAAATGTGGCTTACCCTCAGTCACCCTTCAGACAGCACCATCACGAGTGATGCTCCCGCTTCCCGCAGGGAACGGGCTCGCCCAGGTTCGTGTGCTGCTTACAGAGAGCTGCACCGAGCAGGGTTTATGGCATTCTTCTCAGTCAAATGGATTTGCCTAGTACTGCAGGCACCGTTAGAGGACACACTGATATTTAGAGCCTTTGTACCGCCTTACTGCTGGTGCTCCCTTTGTCAGTGCCCGGGCTA